CTGAACCGGGTCATCTTCTGCCCTTTTCGTCTTTCTGATGCGCTTGAAGGACTGAAAAGTTATATGTAACATACAGAAATGCATGTCTTTGCCTTTAAAATTTGTGTAGTTTGGGGGAAATACCAACTCTTCTCTGTGGTTTTGGCCATCCAAACATTGGCGCCCTCAGAATTACAAAGTGAAATTCATGTGAAGCAGAAGTGAAACCCACTAGTGCGTTTCCATTGTCCAAACTGAGAAAATTTGCAAACATTAGTTACTCTACAAAAAGTGAAAGTACCCTGAATTTAAATACTAGGTTAATAAAGACCAAATTATTGGTTGTGACATAAGAATGTTTTTAATTAAGCTGAGCAAAGAGATTGAATGTTCCCCTTTTTCTTTGTTCATTATAAAGGGGAGGGCTCAGAGGTGGCATAATTGCTTGGCCTTTTTGGGTGCTGAATTTGGAAGAAAACTCGAGATATTGTCATTAAATATAAATAATGTTATTTATGTAGGGGTTTTCCTTATACCCAACCACGTACGGTTATTTTGCTCAAACAAATATTACTGTATGCTAATTATTGCATACTTTAATAACTCCTTCGTAGGAGTAGTAATACTGATTATTTTTGCATCACTTGGGAATGGCAGCCATATTCCATCTGCACTGACTGTATCCAGGCAGACTCTTACAAAACGGAAGTGACAGGAATGTAATTCACAGAGCAGCAATCCACAGTTACATTCCTGGCAGAGAAAGTAATCTGACTTTCTGCTTAATGTGTGCTGCGTTATTTTAACGAGTTATCTATAAGTTCCTTTTTTCTCGGTAGGCCCTCTGCCAGCAGTTGCAGTAGCTGAGTTTGCTGTGAGGTTTGTAGCCTCCACTGTACAATACAAAGGCAGCAAGCTGCAAGATGCTTTGATTACTTTGAAATTTGCTTTCCACTCATACATGTGCTGGCATAAGGTGCTTTTCTGTTTTATGTGGAAGGATGCTGACCCTTCAGAGCGTGTCCTGGTGCCTATGCGCTGGGGACTGGTCCCGGCCTGGTTCAAAGAAGATAATCCTTCCAAGATGCAGTACAGCACCTTCAACTGTCGCAGTGACACCATGATGGAGAAACTCTCTTACAGGGTGAGTCTACAGTATCTTTGCATTTAACAAAAGGATTTTGACTGGGGTGTGCCAGTGCTCCTTCTGGTACCACAACACAGAGATTCCTGGTCAAGGGTCTTGCCTGTCTGCTCAGGGTCAGGAAGGAATTTTACCCCGTGGTCAAATTAGTAGGGGGGATGGGATGGGATGGGATGGGACTAGATGACCTCCAGAGGTCCTTACCAGCCAGATTTTTCTGTGATCCAATGGGGGAAATTTTTGCTATCATCAACTCTCAGCAGTGCTACTACCACCTGGTAAGCTAGAGACCAGAGCTAGAGGCTCTCCCTAACAAGTATTGGCTGTTGTTGCCCCAGGTGTTTAGAAAAAGTCCTTTGTATTTGCACATTGTACAACCAGCATCTCCATTTCCATGAAATAGGAGAACTCGTCAGGTAATGGCTTTTCACATGCTGCATTTGACAGGGTGGCCTTGATATAACCTGCTGTTTGGTTCAAGTACCGGTCAGGCTGGAGAAAACAAAGGCAGCATTGGCTGCATACAACTCATTCGGGAATAAAATGCTATGTGAAATTAATAAAAGCTTGTCAAGCCAACTTAGCAGTGGCACAGCGGACTCTGTAAGGAGACTTAGCCAGCCTTTTTCAGCTGGAAGATGGGCATCCTGGCATGCTATGTGGAAGTGGGGGAAATGTCTGTAGGAAGGAATTGGGGCATTCTTCCAAGTGCTGAAGAATGCAAGGAGTGGAGGTGAGGACACAGAGAATTATTTTGCCTTACAACTCATGGCTTTCAGCAAGAGAGAGAATCATGGACCCTTGCAAAGACTCTTCAAGGCTTATTTAAGCTCTCTCTCTCACTGATGCCAGGGGAGGCAATGGACAAAGCTCCAGTTGCCCCAGTGACCTATTTTTATTAACACAACTTCTTGAGTGGAATAGAATGGCTACATTTCCACCTCGCACTGGGACCAATGTCACATGCTACCACTATAATTTACTGTTGTGTCTGGGTGAAAACCTGTTGAATCATTGTGCAGAAGCCACTTAGGCAGCAGTTTGCCATATGGGATGAGAGTCTTCTTTTGTTAAAGCATTTACATGCTAACATAAGCCCTGAAAACAAAGCATAGGTTTATGTGACCCCCAGTGCAGATCCACAGACCTAATACCTGAGCATTTGAGGATGAGCAGGAAAATGCAATGTGTCAAAAAGCAAGGTCTTCCGTGCATTTAAGCCATGATGTCATCCTTCCTCTCTCCCCCACCAAGCAGCTTTCTTTGATGTCAATACATCCCAGTCTGCCATCTGCTTTCATTTGTGACATGGTCAAATTTTCTCTCTTCAAAGGGCCCTCTTGTCAAGGGCAGGCGCTGCGTCGTGCTGGCGGATGGATTCTATGAGTGGCAGCAACGCAATGGAGAGAAGCAGCCCTATTTCATTTACTTCCCACAGACTAAGCAAGAAATGGTACTGGATTCCCAGCCTGGTGGTGTTTAGGCATTTGCTACTAAGCCATTGGCGATTTCCTGTTCCAGAACAGCTCAGAAATATTAATTATGGGTTACAGAGCTCATTTTTTTTCAGCTGTGTTCAGGGTTGAAACACTCATAGTGGAGGCTGTGCGTGCAGTGAGACAGGTGGAAAGAAGCCTTTGGTGGTGTGGGGTGCTGCCTATTAGCACCCAGAGTGACAAACCCCGGAAATGCAGCAAAACAAACCTCTCAAGCTGCAATATGTGGGTGGCCTCTATGTAGCTCACTGCAAGCTCCCTTTGATCTGTGAGTTTGATCCTGAGGGGTGCTGAGCACACAGAATTCCCATGGCTTGAATCTCACAGGGAATCACTTTAGATGATCGCAGAAATGATTCTGCCTGTCACGTTCTGCCACCTTGCTCTTTTTTTTTGTCTGGACACCTGATTTGTCTCATGAGACAGTTGATCTGCTACTTCTGCTTATCCTCTCCTGTCTCCTGCAGCTTTGCAGTCATTTCTAAAGTGACAGGTTATGCTGTGCAGGTGGAAGGTATTGGCTTTGGGAGGGGAAGCAGCAGCAGTGGAAGATGAGGCTCCTAGTGGAGCTTTTGTGGGAAGGTCCCTAAACATAGAAAAGCAGTTAAAATAGTAGTTGAGCCTTCAGACACTGACCTGCACTGGGTTTAGCATTTTCTGTGAGGCGTCAGCTGCCCTTTAAAGGCCTTTATGTTGAAACGGCATAACACGGGGCTGGGGTTAGTAAGATAGTGATTGTGCCTGATCTTCCTTTCCAGTCAGACATGAAGGAAGAAGAGGGCAATGAGGAGGAGGAATGGAAAGGCAAGAAGTTACTCACCATGGCTGGGATTTTTGATTGCTGGCAGCCTCCCAGTGGAGGGGATCCCTTGTACACCTACACCATCATTACAGTGAATGCTTCCAAAGCCATAAGTTTCATCCATAACAGGCAAGTGAGACTGGCCGGTGTGGGTTACAGAGCATACTATAGGGCAGCTAAGACTAGTGGGAAGTATAGGAAAGGGCAAACCTTTCCTCTTCTCCTTTCCATGTGGAGCCGGTAGCGTGACTGCATTCCCATAAATGCACAGCCTTGGCAGTCAGGAACACACAGGCCAGAAACTCTTTCCTGCTTCTTTCACCTGACCCCCTAGGACATGCATTAGCATGTGACTGACATGTTTGTGGTCACTGAATCTTGCCCTTCCCATAAGTCACTGTGGGATTGCCTACAGGCCTGTTTAATGACTGTCAATCAGGACCTTTTCTGGGGGCTGCTTTAATGAAAGTAATATGTCGCCAGCCTCACAAACAAGCTATGTATTGCTCCGCAGTGGGGTCTCCATGCCACCCAGCTTGCTCTTTACATATGGGGAGTTGCTGCCAACATGGTTCGTCCTGATGTACCTGCAGTCAGCTATCTGTTAATGCTGGCACTTAGCTTGGCTTGCCCCCAGATGACTCAGTTCTACCATGTGGCAGGCAAGTTCCATGCATCAACATGATCTAAAGGTCTCTTCCCTCATGTAGGATGCCAGCTATCCTAGATGGGGATGAGGCCATCAGGAAATGGCTGGATTTTGCAGAGGTGCCAACCCAGGAAGCAGTTAAGCTTATACAGCCCACGGAGCACATCACTTTCTACCCAGTGTCCACCCTGGTGAGCAACTCCCGGAACGACACACCAGAATGCCTCGCTCCCATTGAGCTAGGACTCAAGCAGGTGAGAGCCAGGGCCAGACATGAATCAGGCCTCCCTACCCTAATACTGTCTGAAGATAAAGATTTGTTCTGTTTGTAGTCTTCCCGCTAGGGATTTCCCTTTTCCTGATGCACGCATCATTAAACTTTCCCACCTGTTAGAGAAGTGTTGCTCTCCACCTTTCACAGTTCTGTTATCTTTAAGTCCAGAATGATCTTGGACAGTTGAGCACTGTGAGTGAATAAACCCCATGTTTTGCTCACTTGTTGAGCCAAGCCAGCAGCCATTCTGCTTCTGGCATGGGAGGGAGATTGTGCATTGTAATCATTCAGGGCAGCCCTTTCTGTCAGAAGATGGTGCTGACAGGTACCAAAGAGACTGCAGGCTGCTACCCATCTTCAGCTGGAGCTGGGGAGATGTCAGAGAGTAAAGGGCCATTAGGGATTCCTGCTCCCTCCCCCACTCTTACAGAAATCAGCCATGGGCCTCCTACTTCATGAGGTATATTCCCCTTTGAATGGAGCTTGGGATGAACCTGTTGGGAACCTCCCTGTGAAACCTTCTGCAGGCTGTGGATCTGGGGCCCAGCTCTTGGATGCCAGTACCAACATGAATTTGCTGATGTCCCTTGTATATGACCTGGTATTTCTCTGCTACTTCTATTTCTGTGTTTGTCATTTGTCCTCCCAGGAGACCAAAGCCAGCGCCAGCAGTAAAATGATGCTGGATTGGTTAAAAAACAAATCTCCCAAGAAACAGGAAGACGACCTGCCCAGGTGGTCCAGTCAGTTCATCCAAGCTGCTACACCCAAAAGAACCAGTGCGAATGTAATGCACCAGTGGCTGAAGAAAGAGGAAGGAGAATCTCCTGCTAAGAGGCCCAAGATATAGGAGCCAGTCTGGCCATTTGGAGGTCATTCCCTGTTTCCAGTTCCTAAGGAGATGCGACACGTTATCTTGTTAGGCCCTGCAGATTGGTGCTGAGATTCCCATGACTTTGCTGCATGGAGCATTTCAATTTGATCCCTTGTATTGATTTGATGGTGTAGCTCAGTGTTCCCATTGTCTTGTATGTTTCCTGACTCAGGAGGGTGGTGTTGACTTTGTCTTCCACTAGGCAGGCACGGTCACTTCCCACAGCTGTTCCCCCCCCCCCCCCCCCCGCGTGCATTGCTGGCAGTGACTTTGCTGTGGGAACACCTATATACCAAATACGTATGTGATGGTGAGAGAGGCACTTGACCCTCTGGACAGGGACCAGTGACTATGGAATATCTGAAGGTTAATTTCTCTCCTGCCCTGGTATTCCGCAGATTCTCCTTTCTATCGTGCCAGCTGGCACCTATCTTCTTTACAGTGTCTCCTTGACGCTGCTGATGCTGGAAGACATTTGCAGCTGGGAATTTAACCAAAGGGCCAACAGCAAGTTAATGTTTCAGTGAGACATTCCCCATCCTTCTCGCCTCCCCTTTGTCCAAGGCCTGGAAATTCTGTGCTAACTCCCTCTTGCTTTGCCTTACAGCATTCAGAAATGCCATAGCACTATGGCAGGGGGATTCTTGGGCTATATGTGGAGAAGAGGAAGGTTGTATAAATAGATATTAAGGGAACAGGGTCCTATTAAAACTCAGGAAGCTTTCTGTTGTAGAACTGAGGAGGATTAGAGAGAGAGAGAGAGAGAGAGAGAGAGAGAGAGAGAGAGAGTGTGTGTGTGTGTGTGTGTGTGGGGTGACATACACAAAGTGATCCTCATTAACTCAGTTTTGCTGGCAAACGTTAAAAAAGTGCCTTTACCTTAAATTGTTTTTATGACTCATTGCCTGTCCCATTTCTGACAAGCTGACCTGCCTTCAAGGAGCCTGCGTGCTAAGCCTCAGGGGCTTTTCTCACTGGCATTATAATATTTTGTGCCAGTTTCTTAGACTGTCTCTATGTCAGATTTTTTAGCGCTACATGAGATTTTTCCCCTCAGATTTTCTACTGCTGCTGCTCTCTGCAGCATCAGCAGGAGAAGTTCTAATTTCAGTGAGGAGTCAGCATTTTAACCACTGTTAACCTTGCTCTAAGCAGGGTTAGATGAAACATTGGAAAAAATGGGGCATTGGATATTGCCTGCATGATGGCCCTTACTGCCAGTAACAGCTGGATGTGGTGAATTTGAGGAGAAAAGATTTTCAGAAGGGCTGAGCATATTGGCAAAATCTTAGCAGGGTTCCAGAAAGTGATGACTGGGTTTTATCCATCTCCTTGGGCAGTCATGAGTCTTCATCTCATAGCCTTTATTTTTTCCTTTGGGGTGGGGAACGGGTCTTGGTCATGTTGTTTGTGGTGCTGTTTTGTTAGCGCGGTTTTAAGAGAGTGTTTTTCTGAACTCTCCATTCAGCGAGCTAACAATTACTCTTTTGAGTAAGATGGTCAGAGTTAGCTTTGAGCTGTACCTGATTAGGAAAGTGCATGCCATTACAGTCCAGATCACTAGAGTACCACTAAAGTAACTTGCATTTTTTTGTCTTTGTCTGATTGGACACCATTGGAGTCAGAAGTGAAAGCAAAGACCTTAGTGTGTGGGGGCTGCTCTGTAAAGCCTTGCTTGTTTGCTTCTGACACAATAGTTTGTAGAAAATAAAGCAATGGATTTGTCTGTGAGGTGTCCCATGCATGTGTGTGTCTGTCTGTACCAGGTGGCAGGCTCAGAACATCCATTCATCAACCAGCGTGAAGAGCATGGTTTCCTCACTTCTGGCGGAAAAGAATAAGATGACTCTGGAAGGGGATAGTGGGCAAGAGGGAAGCGAGGGAGGCTGTTGGTGGAATAAAGTTCTGAAGAGGTAGGGAGGGGCTATTTGCTAATGAAACTATTCTGGGAAGGCCCATGTTGAAGGCAGCTCTCCAAACTGCTTGTTCAGAGAGCTTTACAGAGGCTTTCTTGCTGCTGGAGAGACTTTTGGGCAGCCCCTGGAGTAAGGCAACATGCAGGTTGCCTGGATGCTGGTCAAGATGCTAGAGCTGCCCGTGCTGTGAGGAGGGAAGGCCCTTTAAGAGCTTTGGATCCAATGTGTGATCTTACATCTGAGTCCTGAGTCCAGTACACACCACTGATTGGGGAAAATGCTCCACTGAGCCATGTAGGGAACCAGGAAAGGAACCTCTCTTGCTGCCTGCTCCATGGATTTAGGTCTTCCCTCATTCTGTGCTTAGGAGAAACCAGGCAGAGGCAGCTTTGCAGCCCCTTCCACATCCCCTCCAGCATTCAGCTGCCAAGGTGAACAAATTGCTGTTTATCCCAGGCCTGTTCCAGACTGTCAAAATAACAGGTCTTGATTTGTAGTCCCTGGGCCCGTTGCCTCAGCACCATCTACGGGCTTCTGTAGGCAGAAGACAAAACATGAGAAATGGATTCCTTTCTGTGCCAAGCATTTTCCTCCCAAGGCAGAACAACTTTGCTGCACTCTCCCTCCTTGCTGCATTGGCTGCAGATGAACAACCAGTACAGAACAGCCTCTTCAAGCCAGCCCAAGCAGGCACTCAGGAGTTCCTCTGAAGTACTTTGTGGCTATTAAAGGAGTGAACAGACACCCATCTACTGTAGACTACATTGGTGTCTCCCTTCTCTAGCCTTGGGCTGCTGGAAACTTCCCTGTCTTAAATGGGAAGTAAGCCTTCACCCACCACAGGACTGATAGGACTGACTGTATGCAGAGCATCTTGCAGATGCAAAGCATTGGGAGTGTGATGATCACCAGGCAATTATCTTTAGGATGCAATCTCTGCATAACACCTTTACAGGCAAGTCTGTTAGTATTGCTAATCTGGTGGAGAATGACCACACTGGTTGTTAATGATCTTAACCAGAAGTGTGTGTATGGGTAAATTAAGTCCTTTGGGGAAAACCCAGTGTTAGGTTTCTCCAGTCTCAGCTGCAGGCTCCCCCTTCCAGCTGTGCTTTGCCCTGGGCCAGCTATCTTAGAAAACTGAGTGCATGCTTTAGCACTGTAGGTGCCTGGATGCAATAGTATTGTAGGTGTGTGGGATGGAAGAGAATGTGTTTTTACACACTATTTTTTTTAAACAAACCTAGCACTAAAACAGGCTGGGAGCCTGTCGCTCGTACCAGGAAGTTTGACTGGTCAGGGAAAGGAGGAAGCCTGCTCTATAAACCAGCAGGACACTGAAGTACACTGTCATTCTTAGGATTTTTGGAGGGAGACAACCAGCCTGTTTCCAGAAGGGCAGTCAGGGGCACTAGGGACTTAGGCAGAAATCAGCTGTATTGCCAAATCTCTTGGCTTGGAAACCTTCCTTCTTCCTCACTGTTGAGAGCAGAAGCGTAGCCTAGCGTGAAAAGGATGGCAGCAGCAGCCAGGGTTGGAAGCACTTTCACTTAGAGCAAGGGGCTGCTACAGCTACTCTATCCCAGGGCTCCCACTGCCTGCACTGAAGTGGTGAGCTGTATCACTCGGGGGGAAAACCAGCCTTGGGTTAATGGGTCCTGTGCGCAGCAGCTCGGGCCTACGCACACTGGCTCAGCAAAGAGCTGCTGTCCACTGCTTTGGGTTGCCTGGCCTCAACAGCCTGCTTGTCCCTGCTGACCTGGCCCCTGGAGGAAAGGCAGCCTCCTCGAGGAAGCAGTAGCTGTCGCCCTGCTGGGTGGTGGAAGAGGGCGGGTTTGTTCCCGTCTGGCTGTGGGCAGGCAGGGGCTCTTCTTCCCTTGCCCAGAACTAGAAGCGGAAACGGATCCTGCCAGGGCAGCGCCTGCTGCTTTAATGAGGGATCGCGTCACCTTCTCTTGTGCGGCTCCAACCCCAGCTGCAGCTACGGGAGAGCTCCTGGGCCCGGGCCTGGGATCTGGGGCAGCCCAAAGGGGTCCCAAGTGAGCGGGAGGGGCAGCCGGAGCGCTGGGTCAGGCAGGCAAGAAGCCCCGCAGGCCACCAGACACCCAGCGCTGGGGCTGCCCAGGCTAGCCCGCGGCGGCGCCACAAAGGAGCGGGAGGGGCCGGGCCGGGCCGGGCCGGGGCGGGGCGCACTGCGTTGCCGGAGCGGTTTTGAGGCCGTGGGGCAGACAGCGGGCCAGGCCCGGCCGCCTCCCCCC